GTCCCCATGGCAGGATACCCCCAAGGAACAACGAGATACCTAATCACACCTGCTGGATTAGGTGGGGTGTTTGGGATACATTAACCTCCTTCTCCAGGGTTGTTTCCTGGACTATATGATCAGATAGTTGCTTCCTACCATATTAGCAAGTACTGGTAGATTGAAGAATATTTTGTCCTTTCCTTTTTTCCTATTTTTATTCTCTTGTCTTTTCCCTTTAAATTCAAGAAGTCCAAGGAATGTTATTTGTCTAAGACCTTGTCTGGGCCATGATAGTATAAGTACCAAACAAAACAAAACAAAACAAAAAATAAAAACAAATAAATGAGAACAATCCATTATTTGGGCTCAACTGTGTCCAAGATCCGATCATACAAAGTTGCAGATTCCAAGGTAAAGAGCTTTAAAAGGCTGGTTCTGAAGCAAAGATTTTTAATTCCAAGACAACCAAGTCCAACATTTTAATGAGCAAATGGGACATGAAACAGATTTCAATAAAAAGTGGTTTTGATATGCCTTATTTTCCAGTTAAAAAATCAAGAGATTTAAATATAGTACCCATGCCCCACTTCTGTTCACATGAAGGGAAAATATTCTCTGCCAAGTGGTGAAAAGTGAATTTGTTGGCTTGATTTGCTCTTCAATCTGGCATTTTCCACAAAGTAGTTTTCCTTGAATTATCTAAACTTTTTCACCCTCCATGGTTAAAGCATAATTCCTACCCAAATTAATTGTGAACACTCTTTGTGATATGGTTATCAGGTTAATCATTGCTTCTCTTCCCTATTAGGAAATGTTTTTGTCAATTTCTTTCAAGGTGTCACTACAGTCCTGATATGTGAATGGATATTACACATTGGTTTATTCTCCACGGTGCTTGGATAGGTAAGCACTGAAGGGAACTATTTCTCAGTTGGAGATTAGCTAGGAAAGGGCCCGTCCATTTGAAAAATATAATTCATCAAGAAGACTAATCACATGTACATAAAGAAAGAGGGAAAGTATGGGATGCCATTATAGGAAGAAAGAAGAGATTACATCCTATCTCACAATTTCACAGTTCTTTTCTTTTTTTAAAGATTTATTTGAGAGAGAGCAAGCAAGCACGCATGCAATTGAACAAGTGCACATGAGTGGCATGAGGAACAGAAGAGACTCCCTACTGAGCAGGCTGGGGCTTGATCCAAGAACCCCGAGATCATGACCTGAGATGAAGGCAGACGCTCAACCAACTGAGCCACCCAGGTGCCCCTTTACAGTTCTTTTCATTTACCCCCAGGTATTTCCTAGATTCTCAGAACTGATTCTAACACTTGACTAATTAATTCAAATCTATTTCTTTGCTGTAATATATGGGATACTATAGAGGTCAATGGAATCAGTTTATAAAGTTGGAGCTTGGGATTCCCCACATGCAAAATCATCTTCTAATTTATTTGACAAACAATATAATGGTTTCTCTAGTGAACCACATTTGGAGCACCTAAAGTAACCTCTGGTATGTATTAAGACTTAGTCTGAATCAGGTATGGGATGAGGAGAGCATAGTATGGTGACAATAAAGGTAAACAATTAATAGAAAGTCATGTAAATTATTTCAACCTGTCATGCAAAACACAGCTGAGGAAAATGTTGGGATTATTGTGTTTCATCCAGACCAGCCTTTTGCCAAGAATCTACGCCTACACACAATGTCTCAAAAAGACTAGAGAGAGGTTTTGTAGGTCCCTTAAAAAAGGGGGGGGGGCAAGAGAGACTCAATACACAAAGGAAACATTCCTACTATGTGATATAAAGAGAAAGAAGAAGAAAGGAGCACTAAGCTACTATACTAGGAATAAGGGTATTATCTCCTGTTTTAGAAGCTCCCAAGGAGGAGCACACAATTGGGTATGTCCACACTAGAACTTACAGAGGGTTAGGAGGGGGTTGGGGGTGGTGGCAGCAGGAATGACTCACAGGGGCTTCTCTTTCACCTGCAGAAGAGGACACCCAAGCATCCCCAGGGTGTCCTCTAGTTACATGGACCTCCCAAGCCACTCATTGTTCTCATTCCTCTACCTGTTACACTTTAGATCTCTCTCCATTCCTACCTCCCCTGTCCCAAGTCTTTAACTTTTCTGGTCCCCTTATGCTGGAAGCACTGTTTCACAGTGACTAGAATGAATGAGAGTCAGAAAGTGAGTCTGGACACAGACACCCATTGTCACCTGGGTTACCTGGCAGTAACCTTCTAACTGGTCTACCCCTCTCCAACCCTCTTCTCCCAACGGCCAGAGATTATGAAACCTCAACTCAGAGTGTGACTTTGCTTACAACCCATCTCCCCATTGTGCTCAGAATAAAAAGCTAAGACCTCATCACGACTGGCAAAGCTGCCGTCACCTGGCCTTGCCTAATTTCTTCAGCCCTATCTCACCCTGCTATAAACCTCCCTTTTGTTCCTTAAGGACAGGAAACTTCCTCCTGCTTTAGGACCTGAGCCTTCTCTCCACTTGCCCCCCACCCCAGCATCTCAGACCTGCACATAGATCTCAGCGTGAACATCACCTCCTCAGAGAGGTGCTCCCTTGATAACCTAGCCCAGAGTGGCCTCATCCCTCAAGGCTATTTTCCTTCCTTACCACTCATCTGTACCCTCTGCTGGAACCCACATGAAGGGAGAACAGCTCCGAAGCCCCAGAGCTTGGAACAATTCCTGGCAGGTGGCAGGTGCTCCGTAAATGTTTGTCCAACAAACAAGGCTGCAACTTCTTTGTTGAACACTATAATAATACTGCTTTCCCATCAAGATAATCTGGGCTTCTTTCATCTTGTGGATATTTGCAGAGGGAAAGACAGCTCAATTATTATGCAAGCACGTTTCCCTTTAATGTTATGTGACACTGGTATTGCTTTTGTTCTTCCAAATTTGCTTCACTCTATCTGATACATAATTTAATCTAATTTCTCACTGCACTTGTTTATCCAACTTGAGTTGAATACTTTTCATGCACTGGGCCGTCTATTTATAGGTCTACTTCGCATTTTGTCTGTTGACTTCATTTTTGTGCCCTCAACACAAATATGTGGGCACTTAATCACGTGTTTCCCTTCCGAGGCAGTGTGGGCATGGACCATGCTACGGCTCACACCATCCAAACATAAATTAAGGGATCTATGATTAGAAGATCTGACACATAATGAGAATGTATTTCTTTGTTCAGAATTATTACAGAGTCATAGCTATTGTTTTGCAGAACATACTAATCCTCCCACAGCTGTGAAAAAGAAAGAACATGATTGAAGGTTTTGTGTGTGTGTGTGGTTTTTTTTTTTTTTTTTTTAAGGGCCTGATTGGGTCTAGTAAGATTGTACTTTTAGTTTGCTTTGTTTAAAAAGAAAAAAAAAAAGGTCATCAGAGAGATCTTCAGCATATTCAGCGAGGAAAACAAAAACCAAAAGAACTAGGAAAAGCCATCTTACGCTCTGAGAGGCTGCGGGTACAGGGGTCAAGGCATTCAGAGAGAAACGCAGCCAGTGTTTTTTCTCATGAATTCTTTATACTTGAACCTAGGAATCAAAAGTGACTTCTGCTTTCCTGTGTGTCCACACAGGAGATGCAGGAGACCAGCAAATTGTGGGGGCTCACTTCTGTAAGCGTGGAACTAATAATTTGTATAGAGGTGCTGCTCCAGTTCTAGGGATCATAGAACCACCAGCAGAGTTGGGACCCAGAGAGGAAGCATGTTCAGTATGTTTCCAACTTACTCCTGTTAACGCACCATGCCGACGCATCTTCAGCCCTGATCCTACCATCTCTCACTGGCACCTGCTCCTGAGTGCACCCCGTTGCCCCACTGAAATCCCAGGGTCAGCCTCCACCACCTTCCTGCACCATGGCTCCCCAATTCTCTCCCTCCACAAACTCCTGGTTCCTTGGCTGAACACCTATCCATGTACGTGTCTTCAGGAGGGTGGGAGCCTGACTGTAGAAGGGGATGATGAACAAACACAAATGACCTCATTGCATTGACTCACCTCCCCCCCAGAGGACCCCTCCACCATGTTCTTCTCTACTAGCTCAGCTCTGCCCTTACAAATCCTACCACCTTTTGTTCCAGGAGGGTTGAGCTTGATTTCCATCCCCTATCACAAGTAATGAACAAACTCTTCCTTGCCGATGGTATTTAGTTTTGGGATGGCTACCATCAAGTGGGGCCACCCCCCACCATCAAGAAGGACACCTGGTGATCACACTGTTCTTCTAGTTCATGGACATCTGCATTTTTCTCCTGCCTCCTCTTCTACCCTCCAACCTCTCATACCTCCACGTGCTTGTCACTCTCAGCTGATGGCCTTGCTTTCTGGGTCACTGAGAATAAGAGCAGGGTTTCTCCAGCTCCTACCACCCCATCACTTCTTCTATCCACACGTGCTCCCTGATACCCCACCCTCCCGGTCTCTGTAGGCACCAGAGACCCTGTCTTCTCATGCTCACTCAAGACTGCAGACTCCTGTCTTCTGCTAGGCCATTGCCTAGCTCCGCAGGTTCAGAGAACAAGAAGTAACTGTGACATTTCCACATGCAGGCACACAAGGAATGTGTTTAAAATGTGCTCATACCCTAATAAAACATGTACTCAAACTGCACAGCCCTGTTATAAATTTGCTAATTTACTGCTAACTCTGAAGCTTCAGAGTTTACAGTAATTACTACAATCTTGGTTTATACGACTGAAGCAGGAGAGAAATAGAGCATCTCGCACTCCTGGAAGTCAAAGTCACATTATATTTGCCACAAGGAGGTTTTCCTCCCTCCATAGCTCAGTTGATTTGCACATTTCTAACTGTGTATAAATGACAGATGTGCTGAGCTGCTTTTTTATTTGAAGCCAAGTATAGAGCTCATCCCAGAGCTTAAAAAATATTTAAAAGGTTTCTGCGGTATGCGACTTGTCATCACACTGTGGCGCCGGGCTATGTCCCATCTCACAAAGTTTAAGAACCAAAACAATTACCTCTTCAAGGACATCAGCAAGCTTACTCAGGATCTCTTCAGGAAGGCTCTGGAACGTGGGGACACTGAAAGACAAAACAGATGATGCTGAAGCAACTTCCTTCCACAAACAAAACAACAACGTGCAAATGCATTTTATGACAAAGAACCTGCAGATAAAGGCCAAAGCAGTGACTTGAGCAGGATCTGATGACCACCAACAGGGGAAAGGCATGTTCTACTAGAAAGAACGTAGAGATTGACCAGAACTGAGTTCAAATCCAAATTATAATTAGCTGTGGGACCACAGATGCCTCAGCTACAATAGGAAGAAAGTGGTTTTCTGCTTTATCAGTCTGCTGTCTCAGATTCTCTCCTGTTCCATCTGCCTCTTTGGGTCCCTTTTAACATGCGCACATGCACACACACACGGGCACTCGGAAGGTCCCTCTCTCCTCAGCCCCCTCCAGCTAGGTCAGAGTGTCCCACCACAAGCTCTTCTATCCCTTACATTAGACACTTAACCAGGTATTTGTGGTTTTCTGTTCTAGAATCTAAACTCTACAAAAATAAGAACAATTTATCAGTCTTGTTCGACCCCTGTGTTTTCCATCATTTACATATAGCTCAATAGCTGACACTGAGCAAAGCTATGAAAGCATGGATGTGTGAATGCTTCCTGTGCAATTACAAGGATCAGATGAGACAGGGTGGAGAAAAGAGTCAAATGCAGTAGACCAGGAAAATTATTAGTTCACCTCTGACCAGCCAATGAAAATACTGAATGATGCCAAATGCACAAGAGTTCTTCTATATATGAAATATTAATGACCTTAAAAGAAATAAACACTCATAAAAACATGTAATTTTTGAAGCTCTACTGGAAAATCATAACTGGGATACGCAACTAAATTCTCATTTAATCCTATCTCGATGCTTGGATAGAGATAAGACGGTAAATGAATGCATATATGTTCAATTACTTGATATTTGACTTAGCTACTCATTCCAGCTTGACTCGAATGATACAATGAAAGGAGCCATAGCATACTGTTTGAATATAAGCATGGACATTTCACTGTTAACTTGTCACTCTGATTCCTATTACTTAGTGTAAAGCCTATTGATAAAATCCCAGGGTTTTACGCAGAGGTAGAACAATTCACCCAGGACCATCTGTTCCACCAGATTTACTGCTGTGGTCTTAGTCGTCTGGGTTTTAATTTCCAGAAGGCAGTCTATTTCAGCAGCTGGATGGAACTCATCACAGGAAGAGAGGAAAACAGAGGAAGCAGTTTCCATGAGTGATGCAGGTTGAAAATCTAGCCCTTCCTTGTTCCTTTAATGAGCTCAGGGTCTCCTAAGACATAAGAATAATTAGAATGCTTCTATCCCAGTGGGTATTGGTGGAAATGCAAACTAACAACTGATTTTTTTCTCCTTTCATTATCATTGTCCCCCTTCCCTAGACAGGTGTATTACCTCTAGGCTCCACCATTTATCCCTAGCTGTGCTAGATCTATGCCAAGTCATACCATGAATACTTCCATGTTCATGAGTTCATACCCATCAGAAAACCATTAATATTTACTTGACTACATAATGCACTAAATGGAAATATTAATCTTAGGAGGGCACTTTAAATCCTTTTTTACAATTTTACTTTTATTCCAACTTCAAGGTATAATTGACAAAATTAGAAGATATTTAAAGTGCACATGATGATTTGATACACATCGTAAAGAGCTTCTCTCAAGTTACTTAGCACAGCTATCACCCTCACATATTTATCTTTTTTTTTGGGGGGGGGGAGTGTTGAAAGTATTCTCAGGTTTCTTCCTTTAGGACACTTCACGATGGTAATGGTCAATGTCACCATACTACACGTGAGAAACAGATCTTATTCATCCTAAATTGTGGCTAAAAGTTTGCATTCTTTTACTAGCCTTTACCTGTTTCCTCCACCATCCAACCCCCCCGGCAACCACTTTTCTACTTGATATTTCTATGAGCTTGATTATTTTTTAAATGTTCTTATTTATTCATTTGAGAGAGCATGCACTAGGGGGGTCCGAATGGCAAAGGGAGAGGGGGAAGCAGGGAGCCCAATGCAGGACTCGATCCCAGGACACCGAGATCATAACTTGAGCCCAAAGCAAATGCTTCACTGCCTGAGCCACCCAGGCGCCTCTTGACTTTTTGTTTAGATTCCACATATACATGATACAGTACAGTATTTGTCTTTCTCAGTCTGGCTTCTTTGACTTAGCATAATGCTTTCAAAGTTCATCTGTGTTGCAAATGCAAACTGCCAGATTTCCTTCTCTCATGCCTGAATAATATTCCATTGAATACTTATCATGATCTTCTACAACTTAAATGTCTCAGAGCCTTCAGCAGCACTTGTTACTAACAAAAATTAAGGTTGATTTTTAAAAAGAAACACTGTAAAAAGTTATCAGTAACAACCAGAGAACTTCTAAATTTAACAAAATGGAAAGCAATTTAAAAAATAAATAGCTTCACTGTAATAAAGTGCTCTGAAAACACTTCCATAGCCATCTCTAAAATCTTAAGATCTTTATTACTGCAAACACTAGGTAAAGTCTCTCATCTAATTAATTTGCTTTCTACGAACCAACACCAGTAGCTTGAATGCCAAGAACAAAACAATTGAGAATACTCATAATTTGGAATTCTACAAATGAAATATGTTGGTTAAATTTCCCCAAATACATCAAAAGACATTAATTTAGACTCCACTAATTTGGACATATAATTCAAGATGAAGTTGTTTATGATTCAGAAAACTTAAGGGAAAATAATTATAAGGACAAACCTGCAGAAAACATTTCAACAGGAAAGGAGAATATTTTACCTTATGTAAAAAATAATTTACCGTAATAATTTGCATTCTAATTACAAATAATTCTTACATATCTATTAAAACATTTTGTCCCCTAAGGACCTGCAATATGCCCAGAGCTACAGAATGCATTATAATGTAATGTAATAGAGATGATTTAACATGTGTAAAGCTTTGCTATTGGCTTTTTCTTCTTTTAAATTGATTTGAGAGACAGAGGGGTATGAAGGAGTGGAAGGAGCAGAGAGAGACAGAGAGAGAGAGAGAGAAAGAATCTCAGGCAGATTCCTAGCTGAGCATAGAGCCTGACACTGGGCTTGAGCTCATGACCTTGAGATCATGACTTGAGCCAAAACCAAGATTTGGATGCTTAACAGGCTGCACCACCCAGGTGCCCCATTGGCTTTTCTAATTGAATGAAATGAGGACTTGCAATTTGCAATGATAGTAACAGAAGATGAGATAGGGGTACATACTCTCTGTCAGGCACTGGGCTCAGGATTTCATAGAGAACATAAAGGTTAGTTTTACAACAACCTTCTGAAATAACCATGTCATTGTCATCCATTTTACAGACCTGACAAGTGTGACCCAGAGAGTTTGCCTGAGGTCAGACCACTCAGTGTGGGTGAAGAAAGGATGAAAATGATGTGGAGCTCATCACTTACCCCTCGGACTGCATGATTTACAGTCAAAGTGTTAGCAAATGCCTCACACAACTTTCAAAATGCTTCTATAGTCTTATAATGATTTGGATATGAGTAGCGATAATATGTGATTTATTAATCACCTTTTTACCATGAAAAAAGCTGAACAAATTGAAAGGCTAGAAGAACAGTTCGAGAATGACCTGTAACCCTACTATCCAGATTTGCAACTGTTAACATTGCGCCATCTTTGCTTTATCCACCTTCAGTCTAGCTAGTTTTCTGTGTAGTCATAAGCAGGCTTGTAGATATTTTGATGAAACATTTGCGAGTCACAGATATCACTTCATACACTTCATAATCTTCAGCATACATATCCTAAAAATAAGAACGCGTTCTTGAATAACTGTAACACCATTCTCCTACCTAAAAAATGAACTCCAATTCTATATCATCTAGGATCTGTTTCATATTCAAATGTTACTTACTGTTCAAAAATGTCTTTACTGGTTTTTCTTCTCAAACCAGGATCCAGTAAGGTTCTACACATTGCTTTATGTTCCTCTTGTCTCTTACTGTACAACACCCTTCCGCCTTTCCCTGTGGCACAGAATTTTTGAAGACACTGGGACAAACGTCTTATTGGATGTCCCACATTCTGAAGTAGTCTTAATGACTTAATTTCTGCTAATCTACTGTTTGAAAGTAACAACTAACAGAGGGGAGAGACAACCCAAGTATAAAGACCTGTATTGCAGGCATCAATCAAAAAAATTGGAATACACACAGGATAACAATCGTAACATAGCAACAGTTCTTGGAATGTGATCTGACAGGTCAGGGACTCCCTAGACCTTTTCAAGGGGGTTCTCAAAGTCAAAGCAAATAGTCTAAGTTGTAATTTGCCTTTTTCATCTTATTTTTCATGTGTGTGCAGTAGAATCCCAGAGACTATACGACAAAGGGTGACATCATTGCTTTGATACATAAGCTTGGATACACACATATTTGTATGATTTTGTGTTTCTTAGAATTTTGAAGCTAGAACCTAAGTTTGTGATATATGTATTTGTAGAATTTAACTCAGTATAATTTCAGCAATCCTGTGCTCTTATGAGACAGTTTTCTCACAATATAACCTTATTATCATCCAACATATCATTCTCTTGAACTCTTGAAAAACAATGATTATTCAGACTTGATAACCCTTGTGTCAAAGTGGAAAAAAAATAGAAGAAAATACATTTGGATATCTTCTGTTGCAATAATAGTTTTATTTTCTCAAAAACATTTGTAACTTTTAAAACTTTAATGCTATTATAGTTCTTAGAATTTTGTAATTGTTATTGGTATTAAGAGTTTAAAATAAAAGATAAATTTTATTAAAGGATGGATCATTGACTTTGAAAGGGGAGATGGTAAGACTCCTATGATCAAGATATAGCTGCTAATCTCTAAGCCTAAAGACACTGAAAAATATAGAAAAGGACACATTAGAGAGTTTTCTGACTCACGGATGGGATAAATCCTGCCCAAAGAAATTTGGAGACACCATACGTAGGAAAGTTTTGAC